GGGTCGCTACGGGGTCGCTACGCGGTCGCTACGGGGTCGCTACGGGGTCGCTACGGGGTCGCTACTGGGTCGCTACGGGGTCGCTACTGGGTCGCTACTGGGTCGCTACGGGGTCGCTACGGGGTCGCTACTGGGTCGCTACGGGGTCGCTACGGGGTCGCTACGGGGTCGCTACGGGGTCGCTACTGGGTCGCTACGGGGTCGCTACGGGGTCGCTACGGGGTCGCTACGGGGTCGCTACGGGGTCGCTACGGGGCTCAGGAGTAACTAGTCCAGTTGCTAAGGGGAGGGGCCGTAACACGCCGTTTGGCTGCCATAGGGTTGCAGATTGCAATGCTTGCAGATCGCATATGCTTGCAGATCGCATATCGCATATGCTTGCAGATCACATATGGCATATGCTTGCAGACTGCATGTGTTTGCATATTGCATATGCATGCAGACTGCATATGCTTGCAGACTGCACATGCTTGCAGACTGCATATGCTTGCATATTGCTATGCTTGCAGACTGCATATGTTTGCAGACTGCATATGCTTACAGACTGCATATGCTTGCAGACTGCGTATGCTTGCAGACTGCATATGCTTGCAGATCGCATATGGCATATGCTTGCAGATCGCATATGCTTGCAGATCGCATATGGCATATGCTTGCAGATCGCATGTGCTTGCAGATCGCATATGGCATATGCTTGCAGATCGCATATGGCATATGCTTGCAGGTCGCATATGGCATATGCTTGCAGATCGCATATGGCATATGCTTGCAGATCGCATATGGCATATGCTTGCAGATCGCATATGCTTGCAGATCGCATATGCTTGCAGATTGCATATGCTTGCAGATTGTAATCCTTGCAGATCGCATATGGCATATGCTTGCAGATCGCATATGGCATATGCTTGCAGATCGCATATGGCATATGCTTGCAGATCGCATATGGCATATGCTTGCAGACTGCATATGCTTGCAGACTGCATATGCTTGCATATTGCTATGCTTGCAGACTGCATATGTTTGCAGACTGCAAATGCTTACAGACTGCATATGCTTGCAGACTGCGTATGCTTGCAGACTGCGTATGCTTGCAGACTGCATATGCTTGCAGATCGCATATGGCATATGCTTGCAGATCGCATATGGCATATGCTTGCAGATCGCATATGGCATATTCTTGCAGATCGCATATGCTTGCAAATCGCATTTGTCATATGCTTGCAGATCGCATATGCTTGCAGATCGCATATTGCACATGCTTGCAGGTCGCATATGGCATATGCTTGCAGATCGCATATGCTTGCAGATCGCATATTGCATATGGTTGCAGAGGCGCATATGC